ATGACCACTACAGGTCTAAACCTACCCGCATTTGACACTGCGTCACCGTGCACCCAGACAGGAACGAGCAACTTGCATTTTCCGGGCAGCCTTCCTATCTTTTTGTCCTGGTGAATTCGCCATCATGGTGCAAACCTGCCGCTATGTCTCTCCAGTCTGCATCCCAGGCATCCAATCTTAACGATTTTCAAGCCCTTGCACCTCGTAATCCAATCCAGAGTTTGCCCCTAAGGGACCCTGCGGGAGAAATTTTGCATTTCTATTTCCACTGCGGCTCACCACGTACAGCCCTGTGATGCAGTATGGCCATTCTGTGGTCCCCACTTACGTGGCTCCACATGGACCCAGACCATGTGTTCACCCCTGGAATGGGACATGGCTTACCTTCAATTTGACATGAACGTCTTCAACACCCTTCTGCATATTCAGGTGTTTTACACTACTGCTAAAGACAACTTATGCATCAGACTTTAGCGAAATTGACCAACTTGTTTGCGCCACAGACATCCCGCAGGATATAGCAGCGCGCCAGTCCCCGCCAAACAAAAGACCCCTTGACAACCAGGTGTGCCTGTTCATGGAACGCAATTTGCAAGGCTGACATAAATTACCAGTCTTATTAATACACCTGAAGTTCCGCGGATTTCAAACTCGGAAAAAAGTTGCTACCAGGCTACTTTTGGCCTGTAATTGACCATGAAAAGAATGCCTTTTTGTACCAAGGTAGATAAATAATAGTAATATATTTCTTGCAGCTGCGGGGAAACAAAATCCGTTGATCCTTCATCATCAGTGAAGTTACATATTTGTACAAGCATATGCAAAATGAAAACAGCAAACATATCCCACCAACAACAACACTACCAGTTTTCCCAAACAACAGACACAACATGGGCATAGAATTCAAACCCTATTTCGTGAAGTTTCTGTTACAATTGTTTCTGACATTTCAAAACATGATTTATTGTATGAACAAAAGAACGCTTATAGTCAATTTAGCGATGGCGCATTAGCAAGCCTTCCATGAGGAATTACTTGCTCGATAAAGACTGACACCAACTTTATCTTGGTTACATGAAGTCTTTGTTCATTTCATTTCTTTCCCTCTTATCAAGGTAAATTATTTGGATATGAAAAGAAAGTTCTCCTTTCCATCTGGACCTCACCACAGTCGTGCTAGGGGTTCTGGATTAAATGTCATTTCCCTTTTTGAGTAAGTCTTGCAGCTTTCTTGCCTCTTCTTTCGCACTGCCAACCAAAGCCACATCAACAGAAAGGACAAGGGATCATGTAATTAGCCTGCAGACGATCCACATGGCAGGGTTTGGCAATGTAATGGTGGACGCACTCTCCCTGGGATGATAGAGCAGCCTTTCATCGATCTCTTCACTTCTTCAAACAACGCTCAATTTCTAACGATCTTTTCCTGTTTGGTGGGACTTTATAGCAATGCTATAGCCAAGGCCACGTGGGATGTCATCTGCCTACGTTTCAAAAATGTGACTGCAGATTTTAGCATTTGTTATGTGCTTTGACAATCAAGCTTCGGCCCCAGCTAACGCTCCTGTGAGGGCTATAACAGACTTCCTTATGTACTTCTTTCATTCGGAGCTACAAGTATCTATAACTCATATCTTAAGGTCAGCCCTAGCTGCTATACGCGTTGGTTTCAAAGTCGGTTCAACCACCTTTAACAGCGTGACATTCTCTCACCCATAATTATAAAATAAATAGACACAAGAAAAACACAAGACAATTTTTCAGTTTTCTTCTTCTCTTGATGACTTGTCATTTCTTTTTTTCTTTCATTTCTCTTCTCATACATGTATTTACAATCATTCACACTGTGAATTTTAGAAATAAAATAACGACTTTGTAAAGAAACGTAGCCAAAAAAAAGGAAAGAAAAAAGAGAGTAGTTGCGTTACACGATTTCTTGAAATAGAGAAAACGTAAGAAAAAGACATAAAATGGAGAGTGGTTGCATTACACGATATCTTGGAATACACATTATTGTACATGAAGTAATTGATTCAAGTATAATAAACCTTGAAGGAGTTGCACTAAAATTTCATGTACTATTTCATTTACAATGTCTTGGAATACAGGAAATTTCATCTTGCATGGATCTTGCATGCATCTTGGACAGCATACAGGCATTTTTTTTGTCTTGCCAGACCAAGGCGAGCGAGCCTTGGTCACAGGAGTGGTGAACAACATCTTGAGTTTCAAGGAGCACAAGCCCTTGGGCATATCGAATTTTCTCACCGTCACGACGACGTTCGTCTTCTGGTCGTGTAGTTTCAAGTACAGTTCGGGGCTGCTGAACCAGTTGTCCAAGAAAATGGTGTACCCTTTGCCAAGAAGATTGGCATTCAAGTCAAGTACGATTTTCGTACTTGCCAGGCCAACAGTTTGGTCTTGACTGGTGTAAATCTTGAAGTTCCAGGTGTATCCAGGGGCAACACCCATGCTCTGGCAGACTCTATACACCTTGATGCCAAACCTTGCATGCTTCTTGGGGTTGTACTGCTTGAACTTCATTCTCCCTTTGAATTTCCCAAGGAACTTGTCGGTAGTAATGTTGCTAGATGCAATGTAGATGGACTTGAACTCCTCGGTCAGTTCGTCTATCACCAGGTGGAGCTTGAAGAGTTGATCTGTTGTATCTGCATGGCTGTTATCGATGAAATGCAGATGGGACAGCAAGTCCATAAATCAGTCGCGGGGCATGGTATTAGGGAAAAACAAGAGTCTCAAGTATTGAGTCTCTCATCCAGTAGGACTTCATGTCGGGTTTCGGCATCAGTCCCAGGACGATGATCATGGACAGGAACACTGACATCTTGTCTGGTGTTGTGTCGAACTAGCTTTTCATGTGACTTGGACTTGCTGCTTGACTTTTCGGGTGTTCAGCGGCATAGCGGTTGGTCTCGTTGACTATGTGCAACGTCAACTCTGGGGTGAAGAACTGCTCGAAGATTTCAACAGGAGTGCTGTTCTTGTCCATTTCTTGCACCTGAACAACCACTATGCCTTGAAAGCCGTGTCGGCGGGGGAAGTTGTCATCAGCCGTCCATTGAATGGACGAAGTCTTGACCTTCTTCTTGGCAGGCCTCATAGTGAATTCTGGAACAGCTTTCTACACTCCTGCCCTGATAATCCCACCATTGTCCAGATCTGCAGCTTTTATAATTAAATTCAATGGAAAGGGCAGGGCACTCTATTGAGTAAAGCAGTGTAAAAAGCTTCAATGCTTGCAGCATGCCTCTCACTCCTTCGCTGTGCAGCAAAGCTTCAAGAAGCTACTGGTCCACTGAATCCAACTAGCAGTCATTTTATTTTGTTCTACTTGTGTCTGGATGTGGGGGTAGGATCCGGCTTGGCAGTGTTTGCTCGTTACGGCAAATATCCCCGCGAAAGGCCACAGTTTCTTAGTATTTATTTTTGTAAATATCTACAACAATTTTGCCGGGTCAAGAAATGGCCGGAGAAGACAGAGACTCAAGCTTTTCATTAAGGGGTACTTATTTCTTTTATGTACAACCAAACCTCTAAATACTTGCTGTTCGACTTTTCAGGTGTTCAACCGCATAGCGGTTGGTCTCGTTGGCAATGAGCAACATCAGCTCTGGGGTGAAGAACTACTCAAAGATTTCGACAGGAGTGCCGTTCTACTCCAGTTCTTGCACTTGAACACCCGCTGTGCCGGCAGGGGAAGTTGTCATCAAGCGTCCGTTGAGTGGACGAAGAAGTCTTGACCTTCTTGGCAGGCCTCGCTAATGGTGGTTGCCTGTTAGAATTGCTGTCACTGGTTTAAATTTCTGAACAGATTTCAATGGCATGCACAACATGTCAATGACCTGTATTCATCGCGCTGCGGGCCCACACAAAGTGCGTTGGATAAGCCCTGACAGCCGAGTCGAGCGACACTCCGCGGAGATTTCACAGGGTATTCAATCAAAGACAATACGGTGTTCTGATGAAAAAAATCCAATTTACTGGGTATCGTGGGGTCGACCAACTCTCCTAGTTGCTCTAGATTTCCATTCAATGCAAAGCTCCCAGTAATTACAAATGAACACTCTCCAGGCGCGGTGTTTGCAGTCATCCGGTGCGAAGGGGTTAACCATGCTGTGGCGAATCTCAATTGATTTGTGTGTCAGCGGCACCCTCTTTAGACTATTGTTAGTGCAATGCCATGGTGCGCGTTAGAGAAAGTAACATTTTATAAGAAATTTTTTCAACAAAGTTTGGTTTACAATTAATAAAGTAAAATTTGTCAACTAAATAATATCTTCCCTACTGTCATCATTGCAACAGTGTCATTTGTAACCTGTCACGACAAAATTAGTATAAAGTTGCACTCTGTTCTTTTCTGTGTTTTAGGGCTTAAAGTCATATTGAAGTGGAGGTCATTTTTTAAAATATTTTTAAGAGCAACCCATCTCTTTTGTAATTCCAAATATTTTGCAGAATTACATATTTAAAAGTGTCATTTTCTCAGCAATTTTGATGATAAGAAATGTTGAAACAGTGTCAGAAACAAAGATGCAAGGCTGCTACGACAATGTCACATCGTCGCTTATACTTTACCCTGAGTGTTTTATGTATACAAAGGCCTACCGTTGGAAAGTTCCCATTTTGCTGAATTCAATAACACCATTATCTTAATTTCCGAAATTCTGACTTTCAGCTCATTTTGGCAATGACAGATCACATTCGTCAGGAAGAGTGAAGGCAGTGTTGTAAAAAGGGCATTTTTCCAGATAACCTAAAGAGAATGTTGAAGTCGTTCCATACATTAAATGAGGAAGATATTACAAGTTTCCATGATTCCTGCGAGCAAACTTCGCATGTTGTTTTTGTACACAATATAAAGACAACAAGACTGTTGGTCTCCCTGATAGTGTTGACCAAATGGTAAGAAAGCCAACTAAACAGGGCTGGGTAGAGTGGTCTGATTAATTAAAGCTTTTCCTATTTTTCTTCACATACAGGATAACCAAGCAGTTATATCCAAATGCTGACTCGGTTTTCCGTCCCAAGAACTTCAGTCTTGAAGAGAATCAGCCACAGTGTGAATGTTTTGCTCGACAGTGTGAATGGTTCATCTTTGACCATGAACTTGTACTTCCAGAATATGTCATTGACTTTGAGTACATGACAAAGGCAAGTACACCAAGATTGTACAATCCATTGCTGATATTTAACCACTTGTTGCAAGATGATGTGGAAACATATGCACTTTTCCTCAGTGGTTCCAGAGAGGACATGCACACTCATTTAAGAGTTCTTTTTGCGTAGCTTTGGTTGATGTATTTATGAGTCATGCTTCGTTGGGTCAGAGTGCAGAAGATGTTCCAGCACACGGATTACTGCTGCTAAGTGGACCCCCCCCCACAATAATCCAGAGTTTATGGTGCCCTACCTACCCAAACAGTCACTACATGTGCTTAAACGTAACACACATGTCCCTCTAGGCATCTTCGATTTTTTGAGTTACCCTTTTCTCTGCATGGTTCTGTGTTGATCTGATTATCCATCCTTCCTTCTTGAATATTGCTAATCACTTCATGCCAGGTGGGATTTGATATGTGGGATGAATTTCTGGGCAATTTTCAAGATTTTCCATTTTCAAATTCTTCCAAAATTTATACAGTCGACTCTCATGAATATGAGGGCCTTTGGACTTACTTTACATTGGCTAGTATTATCCAGACCTCATCTGATGCGAAAGCTGCCCTCCTGCTCGACGTATGTATCACCAATCAACCGTGGGTAGAGCGTACATGTTTACAAGTATCCATAACCTTTTGTTTAACCCCTTGACGACGGGAATTTCTTCCCGAAAGCCAACTCCAAGAATCCCAGCCTCGCTTGGCCATGAACGCCACCTGCCAAACCGCAAATTCTGGTTTGTGGCCCTGCGTGTTCTGCACGCTTTGAATTACACGGTGAAAAGGCTGATTGTTTGGTGGCATGCAGCTCTACTCACCTTTCCATATTCCCATTCCCTGTTTTCAAAGTGGGGACTATTGTGAAGCTGGTGATTATGATGCAAATTCTGTCTTTTCATTTCTGGACTAGCACAAAGACCAATTACCATATATACAAGAGCCAGGGTCTGCCTTCTTTCAGCATGTTTGCTCGAGCGTGGGCCGAGAATAATAGCTGAAAAGGCGTGTCTAGCCGCCTCCCGATGCGTAAGGGTAAAAAGCACGTATGTTTTTATATGAATTTCATTTGAAAAAGTTTGTTTATGAAAGTGAGATACAGTTTAATGAGTTTAAAGACTTGTAATAAAGAATTATCAAATGTAAGAATGGAGGAAGTGACATCTCCACCAATCATGTCGATTTGTAGCGATGCTGTATTACACGTCCCTTGCCCTACATGCTGTGATGAGATCCACATGCATACACGTAACGTAAGTACATTAACATTTTAGTTGGTATAAACCAGTTCCAGAGCTGTGCCTGTTGCACATAAAAGTAGGAGGAAACCAGCTCTTGGTGGTGTGGACAGCACAGGGTGAATATCGGATTTTACTTTGGAAAGGCGTGTGGGTTTAGCGAAAAATTATTAGCGTATGATACACTTTTTTCCTCAAAACTTGTGGATGGTATGCTCTTCGTGAAATGGACCAAAATGCAACTGCGGATGTCATTTTTTAACACTACTAAAAGAGTGACTTTGATCATGTAAAATCATTGGCTATGACACTGGCCTATTAAATGATAACAGTTCAAGCAATGGAATTCTTGAAATGTAAATTAAGTAAAAATGGCATGCTTGCCAATAATACTGACCAAGGCATTGTACCCTTGGCGCGTGTGCAAAAGTCACGGTGCTTGCCCTTGACACTTGACACGCTTGTCACAAGTGAACAGGGGTAAAATGTCACTTTACGACTTGCCCCGTCACTATGTATGCGAGATGGCATGCTTAGGGACTTACTTAGAATTCTACCATTGCGATGCATTTTACAAAATACAATGGTGTAACCTTTAACATTGATTGGTTTGTTGTACGAACCCACCACTGTACTTGTGGTAGGGTTAGCCTATCCACCTCTGTACTTGCAGTGGGAATAGTTGTTTGGCCACTGCTGAACTTGCAGTAGGCAAAACTCTAACAGTAAAGAGAAAATTGTTGTGAATTCCAACAATGGTTAATTTTCATACGGCTTAACTTTGAAGTTGATGCTTAAGTTGATGATCATCCTCCCATGCTATTTTCGCCAACGCGCAAAGTGCATCCCGAATGGGAAGACGATGAGTAGCCCTTAGCTGGTCCCCTGGCATGGAGATAATGCGGAATCACTGGTCTTCCAATTGATTGTGAATACAGTTGAGCAAGTTTCCGGTAAAAGAATGATTACCTACGGCAGATAAATGAACGCCATCATAGGCGTACAGATGAAACTGTTCTATGGGAAAATTGTGGGTGTGAAAGAGTAGTGATGCCAAACCTACAACCTATCGAGCAGCACCATCGGTTGATGGAGCATCTTTTCTGGTCGGCTCGTGAGGGGAAAAGAGTGCTAAAATAGCATGCCCACGGGCCGTGCGTGTGGAAACTGCAGGACGCATTCCTGCATAAAAACACTCACTTGTACCCGGAATACGAACGAATCTACTTTTAGCAAGTCATTGGTACCTACGTGCACTATGGTTAGTCAAGGGGACAGTTCCCGGGTCTCCATAGCCGACCTTAACCTGGGAATGTCAGCAAGCCCTGCTCCTCCAATTCCATGCCAGTGGACAGGTGCTCAACAACCCAAAGACTGACTGGCTCGATGAACGATTTAATCCCCTACGATCCACACAGTGCCTAAACCGGAAGTAAAAATAAAGGTGGAAAGTCATGGCCAGTGCTCTATCGCTGTTCCATATGCGGCATGTGACAATCGACAGTCGGATGTCTTCAAGCCGTACCCCACCTTCTGCCGCTGCCATTGCTTTCCCGATGCGGAACAAGCGCGCCCGGTTATAGGGGCCCATGCAGTCAATAAAAGAAAGTACCTTTTGCAGCATAGCATTGAATTAATATTGGGTCAGCGGTGATCATCAAAGTGACAGAACAGGGGGCCGTGCTTGCTGGGTCTATGCGCCAGGAATTTTTGCAAGGCGAGAACTGGACAAAGTGATCTATCGGTGGCCAGTATAAGGCACACAGATTGGGCTGGTCCAAGCTTATTATTTTTGGCACTTCTAAATGAATAAATTACAGACAATGCACACGAATTACTGTCGTCAATGTGGATGTCAGATCTCATAAGTAGTCTTGACATCTCATCGTCTTGACATTTTTGTACCAGACATTACTAAACATACTGGGACTCCTGACGACATACCATGGTGCCTAGTGCGAACTCTTATTATGGTACATAGCTAAAACCAGAAAACTCAGTGGTACAACTTCACAGCTTTTCATCACTAATAAAACCTCACCAAGCTGCGACCAGAGACACTATAGCCAGATGGGCAGTTTCAGCTATCAAGTTTGCCAATTCAGATTGGCTG